TTGCTGCACCTCCAAACCCCAGAGTGATGGATGACATCAGAGCTGAGTCCCACCAGACCAACCAGAGGAAACAACAGGAAGTTTGTCATCAACTGTTCTGCTTTGTTGTGTTTGGTTGAGTGGATATCACTACAGTTCCTCTCCGAGACAGCAAACACAGGAGTAGAAACAAAGAGAGTCCATAACAGACAAGAGACTAATTAGGTCATGAGATGGATTGAGTGTGACGGACTGATTTTACTCAGAAAAGATAAAGTAAACCTTGCACTGACAGTCGAAAGGGAAGCAAACATCTGCCTCCGTGTCACAGACGGCTCCTTTCATACACGTGGATAATTTACTTCAGTTTAAGCTCTGTCAATGAACAGAAAGGAAACCATGCACACACACACACACACACACACACACACACACACACACACACACACACACACACACACACACACACACACACGTCAGCCATAAATGATTTAATATGTGGTCTCAAGGGCCCTCATAGTTGATAGATCAATGAGAACAACTGGGAACAGAGCAATAAATAGTCAATGTTGGCTATCTTGCTCATGCAGACGCCTGAAGCTATCAGTTTAATATGCAGCAGTAGAAAATATCCACTTGTACACACTCCAACACACATATTTGTCTTGTGATCAGTGATTAACAGTCAGAAACTATTTGAAAGGAGTAAACAGCGGCTCATGCAGGGTACGCTCCTGTCTGGTTGTTCCTGGAGGGCAAGAATGTGTGAAACTAGCATCTATTATAAAAGCTCCTAAGGTTTTAGGACGGCTTCTGTCTGTGTTTTCTTTCTCTGATCCGTTCTTGTTAGTGCTCTTCTGTGGCTCCAGTGGTCGCTCTCAATCTCACGGTGACCAAGCCTTTGTGTGAATGTCTGGCTTTAATGAATCCAGTGAGATCTTTGAGGATTGCTTCAGTTTGTTTAGTCTGAATTTTTCCAGGTTAGATTTTTTTTATCAAGCAATTGTGTATAAAATAAAATGGAAATTATTTTAGCAATCTACAGTCTCACTGTTGGTAGTAGTAAGACATGTTGGCTTATACCATGTACGACCAATCAGGTCTTCTTACAAATGCACTAATAAGTAGCATAAGGTTACAATGCTGATTTTGTTGGTGAGTAAAAGAAATTAGGAAAATGATTTAATAGTTTGGGTTCCATGCAGCAACATCTGATGCTCAGCATCCCTCCAGGCAGGGTGTGACCTCATCTCACAAGTCTTCAGGTGTTGATATTGTAGGGTTTGAGAAATGTAGTGCTTTAAGAGCTCAATATATATCACCTCTACTTATGACCAATAAGCTGTGATACTCTATATAAATATAGAATATCAACCTGCTTGGTCTTTACTGCGTTTAATCAGAAGATTCTAGGATTCTTTGTTTATTCAGGGACTGTAGAACACTTCGTTTTGATTCAGGAAAGAGTCGTGTTTATAAAAGTAAGAATTCATTTTCCAAACAATTAAAACATGACAAGTTAACTAATATTTACTGTGAGTGAATGAATCTAGATGGAGTAGATGTGATGTATGAAACCTATGTCTGAATGCGATGTTATCAGAACTTCCATATCCAGGAGAGCTGAGTTCTGGGTGTAAAAGAATTTGGTTTGCGTTAAGCTATGAAGTTGATTCTTATCAAAAACACATCAGACGCAATCTGTCATGTCTACGTACCCACTCGAAGACCCTCGTGATAGATCTGGAATGTCGAAGTCTTTGGACTCCCAGGCACAGAGGTCCGTAGAAGAAACTGCGGCACTACTAGACCGGTCTTAGAGTTGTCTCCAGGTCACAACAGGTTGTTGTTCTGCATCTCGAATGGATTCTTAAGGAATCTTGCTGTATCAGCTTTGCAGGTGCAAAAAGATTTTGACGACGTGTCAAAAGCTTTGAAACTCTACCCTCTTCTGACACGAGTTTTTTTCACATTTTTATTAGTCCTCCTCTTTTTTCCTGTCTTTCTCTCCCTTTGAGTGCTTTCTTCTTCCTGTCAGTGCTCCTGTGCTTTTGCTTTTCTTTATTTTTTCTATTTTCCATTTTGGTCTATGTTTTCCTTCATTTAAACATTTTCCATTGTCTTTCCTTTTGATGTTTACGTAGAAAAACGACATCACATTCGGAAGTGAAGATAAAACCATTTTTAAAGCAAGCTGCTTCTTTCTCTTATTGGAGCCACAAGGATAACTCCATTTCATGCTTAATGTTTTGACTATCGCTTTGAGTTTGTTATGAATGTTCCTGCCTCTCTTCTTCTTCTTATTTGTGGTCTTATGGCACTTGGCAAACAACAATTTGGTGCATTACTGCCACCAAATGGATTGGAGTGGAATGACTACCAATCACTTCCTGTTTGTGCATTGCCGTTTTAAAGGAATAGTCTATTGTGGCATTAACAGAGGGGTGCCAGCAGTCAGGGCTAGGGGGCCCCCCAACATAAGGGGGTGCCCCATATGCCTGATGGTAAAACCGCCACTGCCCACACATATGATACATCAAATCTGTGCTTACCAACAACATTTTGTTAATGTATGACACCACTGTATCAACATACTTTAACATAGAAACTTTATTCAAAATTTAAGAGTCATATGAAATTGGACATCACTATTTTAAAGCAGACTCCTGTCATCTATTACAATGGCAACACAAGGAACTAAGGATCACTCTAACCAAGTCTCACAGGAATGAATATAAAAAGCGGAATATCCAGCCAATAACAAACAGCTGAATCTGATCTTTCTGACTTTTCCGTACGTAAAACTAGAAACAAGCAACATTTTATTGACCGTCAGAAGGTGGGAAACCACCCAACCCCATCCCAGCTCTCTGATTGGCTGAGAGATTTCAATCATCTTCTGGCTAACTGGAAGTACACACCCACACATATGATACATATGATTGGCTTGGTCTAATGAATCCATCCATCTATCCATCCATTCATCTGTCATTTTATCCATCCAACCATTCATCCATCCATTACACAATCTGAGCATATGTTAACCTATCAGTTTCAGATATCAGCAAATGTTTCTAAATTCACAGTTCAGCTAATTGTGAAAATTTTTCTATTAAACTATTCTTACTCAAATGCCAGGTGTTTAAGCATTTCAACTGTCTAGTTTTTAAACATTGTTCAAAGATTTCAGTTTTCTGCTGTTTAGCATTTTCTCTCCATTTTTCACCTACATTTTGAGCTTTATTACACTTTCTGGTAATTTTTGCTTCTAACTCTTTAATTACATTCAGCTCATTTTGAAAGTTTACCTTAGTTTCAGCTTCACTTCAGCTCTTCAGCAGCTTCAGCAATCAGTTTCTTAATTTGGCATATGCTGCTCATTTCACAGTTCAGCTAAATGTAAAAATTAAATAGCTAAACTAGTCCTACTCAAATAAGTGTTTAGACATTTTTGCTGTCCAGAATTTAAAATAATGTGCACAGATTTCAGTTTTCTACTGTTTAGGATGATTTTTCTCCATTCTTCACTTACTTTTTGTGCTTTGTTCACTTTTTTGGTGCTTTTTGCTTCTAAAACTTTCAAAACATTGAGCTCATTTTGATAGTTTTGCTTACTTTCAGCTTCAGTTTAGCTATTAAGCAGGGCTCTACATGATCAAGCTCCTCCCTATATTACTGAACTGTTAAAGCCTTATGCTCCAACCCAAGCCCTCAGGTCCACACACCAGAACCTTCTAGAAGTTCCAAAGACCAGATATAAAAGTCGAGGTGATTGCTCCTTCCAGACTGTTGCACCCCGACTTTGGAATGATCTTATCCTTAAACAGCGTTGACATTCTGGACACTTTTAAAAAAACAGCTGAAGATCCTTTTATTTAAAGCTGCTTTTTCCTAAATCTTTTATTTTCCTATTTTGAACTCAAATTTGTAATCATCTTTCATTTGTTTTACTTTATTTTTTTCTGATGTTAATCCATTTCTGTTTTGAGATCATTATGTTTTATTTTGCTTTGATCTAGGTGAAGCCCTTTGTGATTCTGTCTGTGTTAATTGCTAAATAAATAAAATTTACTTACTTACTTACTACTGCATTTATGTACCCACAAAGGTTTGACTTCAAGGTGGAGTCTGAGATGTTTGTCTAGATGATTTTTTGGCACATGGCTTGAAAAGTTCTGATTACAACCAATAAATGTAGTTTATTCATAAAATTCATCATTTCAATCCCCTCTGAAATGTACAATCCTGCAAAAGCCTTATCCAATCATTGTGTGTGTGTGCGTGCGTGCGTGCGTGCGTGCGTGCGTGCGTGTGTGTGTGTGTGTGTGTGTGTGTGTGCATGCGTGTGTCTGTGTTTGTGCGTTTGCGTATGCATGTGTGCAAAATTGTAGGTGGGTAGCTAAGCTACTTTGATTTTTTGAGTTATGGATAAACCAAGAAAACTTTTTTAAAAAGCCTCTTATTTCACCATAACAACACCACAAATGCTATTTACACATAAAAAAGTTGTGTTATGAATTAGGGCTGAAAAGGTGCCAAGAGCAGGTCTAAAATGTAAGATAATGTTGCTTTAATGGCTGCTGTACAATAGCCATTGCATGCAGTGTTTTCTGTGACCATATGATTCTGTGACTCTGGGGGGAACCTAAAGAAAGGAGGTTGCACTTTGAACTGTTTTTGTTCAAATGCAGCTTGCTTGAATGGCTTTTTCCAAGAACATACTCTGCACCTTTAATGTTCTTGGTGACATTTTGGCCAGAGGGCCCATCTGCTAGTGACAGCATGCTGTCAGTCTGAGCAGCTGCACTGCTTCATCTCCTTGAAAGGATGAACTTTCAAAATGGAAAGATTATCTGTTACGCATTTTGCATGATGCTGAACTATTTTCTGTAACTAGAAAACCTCCAAATGAAGAGGTTAGTGTTAGGGTTGGGTGAAACACCAGGTATGGTTGAGCTGAATGTAAAATCCCCCAGTTGCTGCCACAGCTGTACTAATTACTCTTCTTCCTCCCTTTACAGACAGCAACTTTGTTCTGGGAAACGCCCAAGTGCAGTCGCTGTACCCCATTGTCTACTGCTCTGATGGCTTCTGCGAGCTCACAGGCTACGCCCGAGCTGAGCTCATGCAGAAGAGCTGTGCTTGTCATTTTCTGTACGGTCCAGAAACAAGCGACCGGTCAACGGCTCAGATCCAAGGAGCTCTGGATGACAGGCGGGAGTTCAAGACTGAGCTGGTCTTCTACAAGAAGGAAGGTGAGATAAATAATCTGTTTTTACATACTTTAAACTCGTGGTGAGATTCTCAAACATCCTGTTGATTAAAGATGCATAAGCAGCAATAAACCTAGTCATGTTTTATCTTGAGTTTTGACTCAACAGGTTGTTTCAGGACAAAATACCATGACAAACAAACAAATTGTTCCACTCCAATAAAATAAGGATATCTATCTATTACTTTTCTCAAGCACGTCCATCATCATTAAATGTTGAAGATGGAACAATTTAATAAAAGGCTCATTTTAAAAAATAAATATAAATGAAATATTTATTTTGACGGGCATGACACTGGGTTTGTGTTACCAGCCAATAGAGGGCACCATTGATGGTTGCCAAATGGTCCGCTGAGCAGAGTATTGGCGGTGAACCTGGTGCCCGACAGCTGGAAACCTCGTTGTATTGTTGCAACTGCTACTGCCACACATTAGATGTCACTTTGGGGCAGCGGGGAGCTCGCGGCTCCGTCCTCAGACACAGGATTGCGGTGGAGCCCGGCATCTCTCCCCACGCCGTGGGCCAGCTCCGGGGGAGCACACAGCCAGTCTGGTGCCCATGAAGCTGGAGCGATCCGGAAGCGTCTCCCGGTCCAACCTCTCATCTGGCTCTGGGAGGGTGGAGAGGAACGCCGAGGCTGAGGGTCGGTGACGGCGGCGAGGCGACGCCAGAGGAGGAGAAGCCGGCCGGTGGTCGGAGGATAGGAACTGGAGCAGGCACTCCCAGGGGAGAATCTCCCCGCTGGATCCTTTAACGGGTTGGATCAGTATGAACAGCCATCTGTCATAACTCACTGGAGATTTGAGATGACATAGCAGACAGTCCCAAAAAGATAAATGATTAGTTGTAGTTTTTATCTTAAAGAAATCAAAATGTTAATATCAGAAGGAGAATGCTCAGTGTTTCGCAGTAGTGTTTCAGCCAATGGCTCTCTCTAGGAAGGTGTCATGGCTCAGCAGAATGCCAGACCTGGTGAAGCTTCTCTGGAGAGATAAACGCTGATACTTTCATCTATCTCTACTCGCCAGTTGTATTATTTGCTGTTATTTCAACTGGTAACTTTATGTTTTCTAAGAATGTGGAAAAGTGGTCAGTATGTCTTTTAGCAAGCCCACAGCAGCATGACTACACAGATAACTTCATTCATCCAACTGGATTAATCAGGATTAACGTAACGGAGTATCGTCAGCATAACAGTTGAGGTTTATCCCATGCTGTCTGAAGGTTTTATCAACTGGGAAGCTTTTTACAAAATAATGGTTCAAGAATTGAACCCTGTGGTTCTACTGGGGCTGCAGTAGCTCTAGAGGTAGAGCAGGTTGTCCAGTAATCAGAAGGTTGCAGGTTCAACCCTGTGTCGGTGATGTCTCAGTCGTGAACAAAACAGATCTTGAGCTGAGTGGAACCAGAGTGAGTCACACCGGCTGTACCCGCATCCTCCATCCTGTTTGTTTGCAGATCGGAGATGAAAGTCACCGCAGCACCACACACACTTACCTCTCCAATTGCTATGAAAACAGGGGGGTGGCGGCCTTCACTAAAAGATGAGTTAAATCAGTCGACTTAATAATATCCCAGGTCTAGGGCAAGCCGTTTTAACATTTAATCAACAATCTGTCATCTCTTTAATTCCTATTTTATATCACAATAATTTAATTTGTCGTAGTACTAATTGTACTGAATTGTTATTCAAAATTGCAAATGAAGACATCAACAGCTACGTTGTTACCATAGAATTATAATTAAGGACATCCAGAATAACAACTGCACTAGTAGGAGTAGAGTTTGAGATATCTCAGAATCCTTAAAAACATCAAAGGTGGCATTTTTAACGTTTATTAGGATGAATGGATATGTGTTCCAGACACTCATCATTATTTTGTTCCTAGTAGAAATTAACATTCCAAATATCCATAAGACCATTAATACTGGATGAACATTTCAGATATCTGACATGTTCATTCTCCATAGCAAGAATCGTTCAGTTATTAAAGGCTTTGGTGTTATACATGTTAAAGAAAGCAGCTGCACTCTGGAACTTAAAATTAATGCCAGTTAAAAGATAAAGAGGGTGGTTGGAGCACTCAAAGTAAGAAAAACGTTTAATGGTGTGAACGAGAACATTTCAACACGTATTTGATCTTCATCCGAGTTACAGTTACTTTGCTGGGTAACTAATTACTTTTACAATGTGGTAGCTGAGTCACTTACTCAGTTATTTTTGGAAACAGTAATTTGTCACTATAACTAATTACTTTTTAGTGTAAGATGCCCAAACCCTGATTGTAGCAATTTCAGTTCTTAGCTGTGGTAGCAAGTTTGTTTGGGAACAATTCCTAAAGTCATTTAAACCTGTTACATGTAGATCCAGTGATTAATTTTGAGAGTGTCATTAAAATCTGTCAAGTAGTTAATGAGATACATTGCTAACAACCATGCACGCACGCACACACCCACACACACACACACACACACACACACACATTTGAGCAGTAGGCATACAAAATACAGCAAAGAGCATTATGTAAAGCAGACTGGCGGCTGATATGCCTAAAGCACTTATTAATTTTCTCTTTTATGATTCAAGACTGCAGGAATAAATATTTTAGTAGTATATTGAGTAATAGACTGATTATGTTTCCTGTTCACCTGTGTTTTTTTATTTTATTTTATTTAACCAGTTTAATCGATTGAGTATTTGTTCTCATTTACGTAGATCTGACCAAGAGGTTCCTAACCTCTAATTGTGTCAAAGTCAAAGTCGTTTTTATTGTCATTTCTACCACATGTGCAGGACATACAGAGAAACGAAATTGAGTTTCAGTGCACACAATTCAGAGATCAGACATACATGGGTAAGACACATAACAAGAATTGGTGACTGCGGTCATTCGCAACATGAGTTGCGCTACCTTAATAGATAGATGAAAAGGGTGTTACATGAGGATAATTGGGGGTAAGGTAAAAAAAAAAAAAGGAATAGCAGAGTTAGACCCAGCGGGAAGTAACTCTATTATACAAAAAAAACTCCTCAACATAGAAGCACAAACAGCACAGATACGAAACATCAGAATCCGATGGGGAGGCGGGGTTGGGCGGGATCCTGAAGCCTCCAATGGAAGCTGCCGGTACGGCGCATCAACCAGCTGCAGACCAACAGGTGGGAGGGAGAGATAAGGAACAGAGAGCACATTGAGTTTCCCGCAGGTCGCTGACCTTAGCAGAAGTCACAATCTGAAGGCAGGGGGGAAGGTCGGGACACAGCATCTGTCAGCATTCCTCCTTTCGTGGGGGTGTGTTGAGCAGCCTTGAGAGGCTGCCTTGGCGTCAGATAAAGGATAAACATGACTTTGTTTGGGGCAGGCAGAGATAATTTTCCTCTCTGCCTTGGAGTCTATAAGTGGTCATTCATGTCCACCAGTGAAGCCAATTTTACGTTCTAAACATCTCCACATCGTCCGGCAACCCTCTCCGAGATGACATTCATCTTGCGTACTAATACAGACAACGCCACGAGGACATAATCCAGCTTACGGTTCACCTCGAGTAACGTCCCAGTCTGTGAGGTCACTGCACGAGCGGCACATTCCATGGGCACGGGTCGCACTCCAATCGCTCCCGTCTTCCCAAATTTCCAGAAAACCAGATATCCTCGCACTCCAATCAGAAGAAATCCAGTGATCATCAGGCCGAACATCCACAAATCTTCCACGTCCTCGATGGACAACTGAGAAAGGCACACGATTCGCCAGACCTCCCAAGAATCGAGTGCATATCCTGCTGCGAATGTCCCCTCGGGACAGGTGGGAGCCCCCTTCTCCGTTCTCATCGTAGACAAAATCTTATCAATCGCGTTGAATGACCAGTTAATTACGTCCATATTTCCAAAAAGAGTAGTGGTTTCAGGAGAAATGCAGAGAAGTGCTCTGTAGGCTGACAGGACAAGAGCCTTGGGGAAGCAGATAAGGGAGCTGAGAAAAAAGTGTCTGTACTCTCTGAAGGCTGGAGAAAAAGAAGAGAAGAGAGAAGATCTGACCAAGAGGTTCCTAACCTCTAATTGTGTACATAACATATAAGATTAATTCAGTGAAATGTTATTCATTCAGTAATCCATTCATTTTATTATTTTTTATTTTCAGTCATTGTTTTCTATATTACTGAGATGGACTAGCTCTCTGTCCAGGGCGTACCCCACCTGATTGCCCATTGACTGCTGGAGATAAGCACCAGCCCCCACGCGACCCCACGTGGACAAGCGGGTTCAGAAAGTGGATGGATGGATGGATGGATGGATGTTTTCTATATTAGGAGTTTTAAGAAGAATAGTGTCAACAGAAGTCCAGGGGTTTCATTTATAAAGCTTGCTCCTGCAAAAATGGGGTCTGAAAACTGTGTAAAGCCTGATTCATGCTTCCCAGTCAGCTCCAACAGGGAGAGACGCGCACGCACACACAGACATTTTGCCCTGATACTTCTCCGTCTCCTGGGGTGTTGCAAAGCAATTCCCCGCCAGGACAACAGAGGGCATAGCACTGTTCTGTGGTATCCTGTCATGTATCCGATCCAAGGTAGTGTGTTCGTGTGTTTTTTGTATATAAGAGCAACACATTCTCACACCCAAAGTGTCAAAATATGACATGTGTGACCAAGCCTCAATATATGATGGTTCGGGACGCCCCAGCGCGTCAGGAGACTTATCTCATCTCCTGTCACAATCTTGATGCCATCTTCCTGACAAAAATTTGGTTATCTGATAACAGTGCACCACTTCTCATTGAAGCCTCCTCCCCAAATGTCACATCACTGATTGTGCTTCGTCCTGATAGGAGGAGGGGGAGAGGTGTTGCTTCTATCTTTAGAGACAGATTTATTTGTTAACAGTTAGCATGCAGTTACTTTGACTCCTTTGAATATCTTTGCTTTGAAGTTAAAGGTACACCCAAGATATTAGCACTTGTCATTTATAGACCACCAGGGCCTTC